GAATTCATCAGAAAGTGAAGGGGACTCAAATGACAGGTAATGTACTAAGGGGCAACCCTCTAGCACGTCAGTTACTGTACACCAAAAGCACAACGCTAACCATTTCTTTGTTTTGCTTGCTTTTGTCATTTTGTTTTGTTTGTTTGTTTGTGCATTGTGTGTCGTTGTTGGGTTGGATTTTGTGTTATTGGTTGTTTGTTTTTAATTAATGTGTATATGTATATATATATATATATATATATATATATATATATATATATATATATATATATATATATATATATATATATATATATATATATATATATTATATATATATATATATATATATATATATATATATATATATATATATATATATATATATATATATATATATATATATATATATATATATATATATATATATATATATATATATTATATATATATATATATATATATATATATATATATATATATATATATATATATATATATATATATATATATATATATATATATATATATATATATATTTTTTTTTTTTTTTTTTTTTTTTTTTTTTTTATAACAGGTACAGCACTTGAGGATCGAATGTGTATTTCCTCAGCAATGATTTGTTTATATGCAAGTTGATTTCATGATATATATGCACACGACCTTGATTTAATAAGTGCAAGTTCATCGCATTGCATGAATCACACTAAAAAAAATCATAACTAATCATTTAAGTTTTTATCTGAAGTCACTATCAACACTAGTTTCAAGGTTATTTAAAAAAGAGAAAAAAAAAAACACACAAAAAAAAAAGAAAAAAAGAGAGAAGAAAAAAAAAATAAATAAACAGCATGGATGAAGATGAGCCTGAGGTTGATATTGCAAGCCAAACCTCATGTTAAAAAAGGCTTCTTGACACTGCATGGTCTGCAACCCAAGCATCATCCCACATTACGAGGATTTCCGCCGTTGCACACCCGAAACAAAAATGTTGAACAATAGTGCAAGGCAGTGGAAAATTATCGACTTTTTCTTATGCAAGTGCACGTCACTAACAATTATGTACGAAAGATGTTGGAAGAATTTTATTTCCGAATTGCAACATTCAGTTCATTATCCTGTTTAATGACACTGGTGAACAACATGTTCATTATGACTCAATAGGTGATCAGTATGCAAGAAACTGTTCATCAAGACAATTTATTTCAGCGTTAATACCTTTGTAGATATTTTTTTTTTAATATAATTTTCTTTTTTCTTTTTTTTCTTTTTTTTTTATTAATTTTTTACTAAGATAAACAGGAATTCTAGCAAATTTTGAGATAATTAAACATATAGAAAACCTCATGTCTACTTAAACACGAAACTGCCTATTAAGCAAATAATGACTTTAATATCAAATTCCTCACAGTAATAAAAAACAAAAAAATCGATGATTCATTCTCGAAGATAACAGGATGCGATTCATAATCAAGGATACAATCATGATTTAGAAATTTGATTTAGAGAACAGTGAAGTAAAATGACAGGAACTACTTTTGTTTATTAAGATGTCGATGATAGATTAAACAAGAGGAAAAAAAAAGGTCAAAGTTCACATCACTTCCTCTAAAATTGTTTCGGGAAATTCCAAAGAATTAAATACAAAGATTAGGTTTAACTTGGTTTTGTTTTGTGTTTAGCTTCATTTCGTTTTTTCTTTTCGTTTCGTGTTTTGTCTTATCTCGTTTTCTTTCGCTTGTTGTTTTACCTTATCTCGTTTTATTTCGTTTTGTGTTTGTACCTTATTTCGTTTTCCTTAGTTTTTTCCTTAACTCATTCTAATCCGTTTTGTCTTTTACCCCAATTCGTTTTAACTTGGCTTGTTTTTACTTAAACTCACTTTAATTCGTTTTGGATTTACCTCGTTTTATTTCGTTTTTTCCTTCACTCGTTGTAATCCGTTTTGTCTTTTACCTTAATTCGTTTTAACTCCTTTTGAATTTACCGAAACGCATTTGAATTCGTTTTGGTTTTAACTCGTTTTAACTCACTCTGTTTAGCTTTTTTCCCATAACATGTTCCGTTTTTGTTTTGTCTGTTTGTTTTTTGATTGAACTCGCTTAAATGTTCACCATAACCCGTTCCAACTCGTTTTACATTTTACCTTACAATCTTCCAGGAAAAAAAAAAAAAAAAAAAAAAAAAAAAACAATCCACTCATCTATTTATCTATCTATTTTCACAATCCACTTACCTATCTATCTATCTATCTATCTTCACCGATCTAAATTCCCCAATCGCATTCCAGGTACAGCAGCGGCGGGAACTGGGCAAGAGATAACTGTTATCTCAGCGACCGCGAGTTTCGGGAACTTAGCTCTTATGACCTCTTGCATGATAGGTCATTTGACTTCTACGAGCGGCGGCTGTACGACCGGGAGTGTGGCGTTGGTAAGTGGTCGTGTGGTGTGGACTAAGTGGTTCGGAATTTTTTTTTGGGGGGGTATCTTTAAGTTTTAGGTAAGTTAAGTTCAGTTTA